CGTTTTGTGTCTCGTTCGTTCGTCGCTCAAATGTTCTTTTTTTTATGTGTGCTCCTGTCTGCGCATTCTGTCTACATCCGTGAACCTGTGTCCCTACTTTTCTCCTTTTCTTCTTCTTTCATCCTCTCTCACTCCTTCGACCCTGCTCACTTTCCGGTTTGTCTTGTCTCTACTTTGCTGTTCTCCCTTCTCGTTTTTGCCTGGTTGGGGGTAGGCCCTTTCCCTTGTCTCCCCTCTCTTTTTCTTTATCCACTTCCCGTGGCTCTCCTCGCTTTTTTGCGGCCATTCTTTTTCTGGACATTTTAATTTCCGTTCCCCCCCGGGGGGGGGTGGCGGTGGAAATGAAGAGGCAAATGTAAGAAAAGTGTGAGAAAGGGGGGGGGGGGGCAAAAGGTCTCCAAAAAGAAGTTAGATTATATTTGAACAGCCCTTTGTCTGTCAGTTCAGTGAGTCAGTCGAACAGATTGTCTGACCTTCAGCCGGCGAGTTCGTCTGTCGGCCGGTCTGTCCGTCTATCTTCCTCTCTTTGTTTTATCGGTCTTTCCCAGAGTGCCTGAGGACATGGACTCCTTTTTTTGTCTTAGTAAGAGTTTTACTACACTTGCAACTCGTTTTATCACATAATAAACAAGTACACACAAAAATATTTAAAAATAGGAGAGATAAGGGCTGGCGATGGTCTTTGGACAGGAAAGTAGATGCAAACTACAACAGAGCACCCGCCAACCACGGTACCACCCATTAGCATTGACTCCAATTTTTGACCCTTTGTAAGTGCATATTATTTTAAGCAAAACTAGTTTGCCCAAAGAACCGACTGACACTCACAGTTTACTTACTTCACTTGTTTACTTTTTCATCCTCTGTTGCCATTAAGCGACGAGGGGAGATGCAGTTTTCTATGGTAGGCCAGCTCCGCGGCTCTTTCAGATGTGATGTTGTTTTCTTAGGCACCATCGATCTACCTTTTGCGTGGCCTTCCTCTTCCTTTATAGCCTGAGTGCTTGGTGTTGTTGGCTCTCGAGGCTGGCTGGTCAGGTGACATGCGTAACAGGTGGCCAGACCATTAAAAATGTTATCCTGTCTTTCTATGTAACGACGGCAGGACTTAGTGCCGATAGCTGCTCTTACTTCTTCATTTCTCTGCCTGTCTCGTCTAGTGATGTTAAGGGTTTTGCGGAGACATTTCATTTCGCATGCGGTGATTTTGCTTTCATGGGTTTTGCTTAAAGTCCAGGTCTGGGACTGATAACATAATGTTGGTATGAATATTGAGGTGATAAGCTGTCTCTTTGTGTCCATGGGGATATTTGGTGCATTTCTCTATTTCTCTGTCTATGGACCTGTTTTCAGAAAAAGTGCTGCCAAGATATTTAAACTCCTTCACCTGTTTCAGTTGCTTACTATTGACATGGATGTTCAGGGGACTATGGTTTTCAGCTCACTTTCATAACCTCTGTTTTTGATGTGCTTATTTTCATGTTCAATTTCTCACAGCTGTTGTAGAGTTCGGTAATGTGAGTTTATCAGATTATAATCACCATGCGTGGGCATGATTCAAGGGGAATGTTTAGAGGACGCTACTACAATCGTGACCTTCTCGACTCGATGCCGCTCGAGTGAAAAAGTAAGACAACATAATAAAGTAAAAGCCAATAGAAAATTTTTAGATTGTACAATATTTATACTCAGATAAACGACGTGGCCTAGAAATATCTATCTATCTATCTATCTATCTATCTATCTATCTATCTATCTATCTATCTATGTGTTTGTATGCCTGTTTGTCTATTTTGTCTTTATGTCTACCTGTCTGTTTGTCTATTATAAGTACATGAACTTTTTTCTTGCTTCAGAACTCGATCAACAGGTGCTAAATCTATGCCTCCGCCTCAATTGTTATACGTGTAGCTACTTAGTTACCTTAAAATTCCAAAGTTCTATCTGACATGTTTGGCCATTTCGAGTTTCTAAGACTAAGACCACGAGATCAGAGATCAGAAACCAAATGTTCTGTTTGCTCTATCAAAATCGTAAGATAATTTGTAGTCATTATCCAGACATTCAAAGTGCCAAAGGATTGCATTCTGAAAAGCTTGATGTTGTTGTTTTTTTGTTTGTTTGTTTTTGTAAGTATTTTACGGCGCTCGCAACTGCGTAAGGTCACATGAGCGCGCGGGACACATTAAACTTTTTCAGTGGGTAGGGAATTTTGAATTTTGCCCGGGTGGCGGCCGAAGCCTACTCTTATCGATTTTAGACCACCAAGGGATCTGTAACGTGCGCAACTTGCACACGGGCCCTCCGAGATTTTTCGCCCTTGTCTGAGAAGGCTAGGTGTAGATCTTTCCTACCAGAAGAACAGGGGTGTGGCTGAAAGACAGCAGTAAGAAGAAGCCAAGGAGTAGCAGTAGAAAGGCTGCAGAAAGAATCAGGAGCCCAGAGGAGGGGGGCAAAGGAGATAAGGGAGTGGGGGCAGAAAGAGGAGACGAAAGCAGACGACAGAACATTGCTAGAGAGCAGGAAAGGAGGTGAAAGGAGACAATTTTAAAGAAGAAAAATTTTTGGTCACTACCCGGATTCGATCCCGGGACCTTTGAATGAGAGGCCAACACCTTAACCTCTAGGCCACGAGAGCTCCCTCTTGATGTTGTGAAACTCAACAACTTTTATGTCAGATTTCTCACACTGGGCACTGAGCTGATAGAAACTTGTGATTCTAGGGTAGCAGCTTATCTATCATTCATCAAGTAGGCCTAGATCTATACCCTACTTAGGAAAGCCAGTGTCACACTTATATAATTATATAGGCTGTCAGCAGACAGAGAATGCAACAGAGGTCGTTGAGCTGGTGAAACAATTTGTGAGGCAGCGTGGTGGAATCAGGCTCTCGTCAATTTTTGGGCATATAGAGTTCTTGGTATCATCTTAAAGCTTGTTTATTTGTCTTTATTTGGATGAAAAAAATATTCATTTATCTTGAATGCAAGTCAAAATATTTGCGAAAGAAGGAGGTGGGGTTACCTGTTTTCAGAGGTAAAATTAGTGAGAAAATGGCCGCCAACGATTAGTTATTTCCTTAGCTTAAAAGTCCGTGGTAACTGAAAATTTACATTTTTTGTGCCTTTAATCAACGTTTTTTAAGAAAAATCCACACTTAAATGAGTTCTTTAATAATAGGCCTGGAAGCTGATGAGCAAAAAACAAAAATTTGATAAAAATTCACAAACCTACAGAAAAATGCATGTTTCTTCAGTTTGATTATTCTGACGAGAGCCTGATTCCACCACGCTGCCCCACATTTGTTTTAATTGAGTGAAGAGAAGCGGATCGACTTATTAACGGCAATTTAGTCTAGGGAGAAAGTGAACAAGACTGACGGAACCAACAGAGGGAACGAAAAGAAACAGGACATGCTAATAGCACCCTCCGACCACCCGCTGTTGAAGCAAAAGATGTGGAATAAAGAGTGGATCCAACCATGTCCCCGTTTTGAAATTACACTTTTGTT